TAAAGGTTTTGCTACGTCTTTCGATCGTGAACTGGATAATTTTACATAGTGGAGTGGCATAAACGCGAGAATAGATAGGGAGTTTAATAATCCTGTGTTAACGCTACACGGTCAGCCATAATCAGTACGTAACTTTTTATAGTGGCCTTCTGGCCCTTTGAATTGGTCGAAATTATAAATATTACATGTAGGTGGGAAAAAATAAAATGGCATACGTGAAAGCATAATTGAAATTATAAATAGGTTAAGAAATATCTAAGCTTAAAACTCAATTTAATTTACAATTAAATTTAGTCTTGTAACTAAAAACGAATTCTGGTTGTATATTATCCAAAGTCAAACGAAACAAAATCTGCAATAATTTCAGGTCTGCCCCAAAGATGGTTATCAACAGAAAATGGGCAATCTGATCGACAAATCGTGCTAGAAATATAAGCGACACAACCCTATCTCAACAGGGTTGTACAAAGAAAAGCATTTGCAGAACGTTACCATAAATTGATATGAAATTAATTTAGTAATACATTTTTTCATGGCATTCTTATTTGCACTCATGTGAAATCTTTCTTAATGCAGCAGAAAACTACCTTTTAAACTACGATAACGTGATTTGAGGAGCAAAGTGAGTAACCTAACGAAGGAGCCTAAACTAACCTTTTCCCAGGAGGGTTACACTCATAAGATTGGCCGAGTAATAACTGGAGTGGAATTTGAGCAACTCATTCCTTACAATGATGTTTTTAGACTTGGGTTCTTCGAGGAGAGTTACGCGGTTACCCGTGCTAAATTTGCAATAGTCGTGATCTGGCGAAGACATTTTTTTGTCCAACTGAATCAGACGTCGTAAGTCACTACTCAAATTTTTTTCGTGCTCCGCTTCCACTGCATTCACCTGTAAATTGAACATAAACGCAAGTAGAGATCAAGACATTTCGATTATATTTGTCATGTGATACATTATGAAAAAAAATATTTTAGACCTTCTGAGAAGGTAACTGAAGATAATTGAAACTGTAGAGCTCAATAGTTTTAAGCACTTCATATAAGCACCTTAATGCGCGTAAAATAGAAAATCACAGGAAAGACTAATATTCCCCTGCCAGCACAATCCCCGCATTCCCCCGTACTCTAGACGGGGTAATCCGGGGATGAAAAATTCGATTAACGAATTATATCTACAGAGCCTATTTTTCAAAAACTACTTTTTATCAATAAATTATTAGTCATATTATCCTCTTACACAACAATCAACTTGGGGTCTAAAAAATGAGAACAAAGGGACGTCCAGCCGTGAAAACATTTTTCAGGCGGTGGGGGGACTGGTTGATATCCCCGTCCTGAGCCCCGTCCAAACTAGCGATCTTTTCCCGGATTGGACGAGGAATCAGGACGGGGCTCATGCCAGAGATTTCAACCCGTCCCCCCCGCCACCCCCTTTTTTCTCATTTTAGACCCCAAATTGATAGTTTTGTTAGCAGATAATGTCATTCCTAATTTATTGATAAAAAGTAGATCTTGAAAAATGGGCTTTGTAAAAATAATTCGCCAAACAAATGTTCTTCGTCCCCGGATTCTTCGGTATTCCCACGGGCGCCATCCCCCGTCCAGTCCGGGGATTGTGCTGACAGGGTACAGAAATAAATTGTACAGCGCTGTACAATTTATTTGTAAAATATTGGTCAGTTCAAAAACAAATTTGCCCAAAATAGTTAAATTAATCGCGTTACGGTAATTGGTATTCAGTGCATATAGCTAACAACCCACAGACCTCTCTTTCAATTGACCCTTCAGTAAACCTGGGTGAAACAAATAGGGTAGCGAAAATATCCAAGGCTGCGCCTAGGTGCTCTGGCGCCAGATCAAACACGAAGGAAGTCTCTTCAGCTGATGTGTAAGCATTGCAAAATCCTCCGTGTTCGTTTATAAACTTTGAGTAGGCATTCTCTTCAGGATACTTGTCGCTTCCAAGAAGGATCATATGTTCGCAAAAATGCGCAAGTCCTTGCAACTCCGGCGGATCAGAAAAACTACCTATGGGACCATTAGTGCTCAAGAAAATTACCTGTCCGAACAGCAAGACATGCAGCAGCTTTATCCGCTGTTGGGTCACTAACGAGCAGGATTTTCAAATGATTTGGCAACTGCAGAAAACGATACGACCGTATATCGCTTTCTGATTTAGTGATATCATTGAAAATAATATCATCTTTATCAAATTTTGGTTGCAGAACGACTAGAGCGACTGCGCTATCGCCTACTGATTTTTCAATCATCTTATTCAACAAGTTTCCGCGATGGTAGATAAATAGTAGCCCATAGTTTCCAAAACAACTATTTTAAATAACCACCTTAATTGTACGTCTAAAAATTGAAGTAAATAAATAAACGTTCCACACCTCGCGCCGATTATAGGATTTTTCTCTGCGTTTCCGATGCGTGCATGCTTTTTAAGTTTTAAGGACGAATCCAAATATACAATAAAATCATCATTCATGAAAAAATTGTCGGATAAGTTGTCGAGGGAGGTTAGTAAAAAGCAAGTACTAAATGTATTCATTTATTTATTGCCAGTTTACAGGGAAGGTCAAAATTAATTTAATTGCTAAAGCACCTCTTGGGCGGCTTCTGAACCGTGGACGACAGTAATAAAACTAGAATAAACTCCCTCTTTTGCAGTCATTATTGTTTATTAACTTTTGTGCTTGGTTAATAATGGGTGCTATAGAAAGTTTTTTAAGTGAAAAAACACCTGACTTCAAAGGTACGATACTAGCGAAGGAGGTGTACAGTAATAGATCGAGTCGACAGTTTAGTTGAAAAAACTGCAGCTCCTTTAGTGACTGAAGTTTGGGGCGGGGGATATTTGAGAGTGGAACACACGGTTGTCAGTTTCACTTTAGTGTTATGGTTTCGAGATTCTGCACTAGAGGAATGTGCGTTGGCGATCGGTTGCTTGTTGTCTGCTGAAGAAGTACCCGATCGTGGACTGTAGATTCAGGATCACTGTCAACACCACTAGGCCTGGCATTGTTGAAAGCTCACGCACATTACCAGAAAGAAAGATGGATTCTACAGAGCCAGCC